AGAGACATATTATCTTCCTCTCATATCTATCTCCCTGTAGTATCTTTAACTTCAACTAGACAATGTCAATGGCTTAGAAAAGTTTAAAGAAATCTTGAATGTCATCTACGAAACCATTTTCTTTTAGATATGAGATAACTGATATCTACAAAAATTAAAATCTCAAGTCATATAGTTTATAACAATAAATTATACTGTAGGTTATGGGACTGGATTGTCAATCTAATACATATTCAATTATTTCCTATGTCCTATCACTGAGTAGAATTTTTTAACAAAACTGAATTTTAAACATCTTGTTCTGAAAATTAAAGGCATTTTATATGACTATATCTTTATTTTTATCCTCTATACTACATAGTTTAAGTTAGTATCCATTTTTCTTTACTGCTATTAATACACTTGGTCATTGCTCATTCAAACAATAAATTTAAAAGTTATTCTGTATTTATTTCTTTCTAATGATTACATTAAAGAATTTAAAAAATAGACAATTTAAAGAATACATGATTTTAGAAATTACCCAATTCTTGAATTTTTGTTCAGATGTTTCATAAAACAGATTATATCTTTTAATATTTCCTAAAAATAATCCAAATTCTGTTTTTGTTAATTTAGAAGTTATAGAGGCACTGAAAGAAATGTCACCAGTAATCATTCAGCAGTATTAACTTTCCCCCCTTTGCTATACCACGTTAATTTTAGCCTGCGCCTCATGGGAATAGCTTCCCTCATTGACAAGTGAAACAAAAATCTAATACAATGAGATTTTTAAACTTTATCTGAATTTTTTAATGTTTTATAGTTTTTGTTTTATAGTGAACTATTTTCTGAAACTAAAATGGTAAAAATTTAATAACATTTTTATAAAAAACAGATAAAATTATAAATATTCAGTCTGGTAATATATGCCGTAATTTCTACTTTTAAAGTAAGTCATGTTTTTAATAAAATTATCACTGGTGGAGGTGCCACAATTCTATATATAGTTATTCTCCCCGATTGCTATTGATTCCTTAAAACTTATTTCCACTCTTGAAATGAGCTGAAATATCCATTGGCTAAATAATCTGTCATGTTTGTTTGTTTTTTTTAAAGTGTGGTTGTTAAATTTGGTGGAGAAAATATATAGTATTTTAAATCATTATTATTATTACACATATCACTTTTATACCATGCTTAGGAAACAAATCACGGTTATAGTTTCTAGTCTCTTGATGCAACATATCTCCATTCTCACTTCTAGAATCTATCCTTGAAAATATGGGTTACCATTTGTCCCAGACTAAAGCCTTCTGAGCCTTTTTTTCAGAATTATTCCAGCTAGGAAAAAACTATGATCCTTTTCTCTCCTGTGCCAGAGTTGTTAAAAGTACAAAATCATATGGGTTATGCTCTTGTGCAGATACAAACAGGGATTAGAAATTTGAAGTCCACACATCTAGATATTCTATTTAATCTTCCCTGGGGCCAACCTCACCCTTCCTCTGGTGATGTAGATGAGTCAGTAGGCAATCCCCCTTTTTTAAAAAATTATATTTGTTCCCTTGAACAGTGTTTCTATTCATATATCCAAAAGTCTGAGCTAATGATCGTTCATAAATATTAATCACAGTGAAGTGATTATTGCTTACAGCTGGAAGGCCAGGTTTTCTTACTCTGTGTTACCAGGATGTTTGATACACAATAGATACGAGGTTACTGCTAGTCAGATTAATTAGTGAAGAAAAGAATTAATACAAATTGCTGTGGAATATTCCTCTGTAGACTGTAAAGATTTGTCACTGGGATTGGCTTAATAAAATGCTACTTGGCCAGTAGCCAGGCAGGAAGTATAGGTGGGGTGACCAAACTAAGAATGACTGGAAGGAGGGTAGAGTCAGAGGAGTCGCCAGCCAGATGCAGAGGTAGCAGGAGATGAACATGCTAGGCTAATAAAGGTACTACCATGTGACATAGCATAAATAAGGAATATGTGTTAACTAAAACATAAGAGCTAGTTAGTAATAAGCCTAAGATTTTGCCTGAGCATTTATAATTCATATAAGCCACTGTGTGATTATTGGGGACTGGGCAACTGGAATAAGTAATGTCCATTTACAACACACAAGTGTGGTTATAATTTCTAGCACTAATTGTAGCACTTCTTTATATTTATTATATATATATATACATATGTCTATAATTCATAAGTATTATAACCTTGTTTTGTAAGTTGGATTTCTTAGATTTTTCTCAGATTTTAAAAACATGTCTTATTATAGACCAAAGTGCCCTAAAAGTTCAAAAAGTGTGAATCTGAGTAAATGTTCAAGACATAAATTGAGTTTCAGTTGGTCTATTCCAAATAAAAATCACCTGAGTACTGATTTGTACTTCTCAAATTATAGAAATCACATTTATACTTAAAATGTAAACCAATAGCTTAGTTCACTGTAATAAATGCATTGTTTCTTCACATTTATAGATACAGTTCTGAGGAAATTATTTCTGAGGCTCCAAAACATTTAAAAGAAATGAAAATGGGCCATGCTCCTCATCATGATGATAATGAAATGAACCTCTGAAACTTCAGCCAGACCATCTCAATAAAATGTTTTCTTTATAAGAAAAAAATGAAAATGTCAGTAGAGGAACAAAGTTCTAATTGGTGATCAAAATATGAAATTACCATAGGATTACTTAAAGCAGAAGCCCTACCTATTTACAGAAACATTAGCATTTTGTTCAGGTTTGTTCATATTGATTACATCTTATTAGGATAGAATATAGGTATAACACTGGAAGTATGTTCACTTGAATGAATTAAAGTTATTAAAACTCTAAATATGGCTATCAGACTTGTTGATTTTAAAAATAATCATCGTTAAGTTTCCTAGGAACAGATAAATCAATTGACATATAATAATAATCCAACAATGTAGAGAAAATCCTGGCACTGTGAATTTCAATTCTGTTGTACAACCTTCCTAAACATAATGGTATTTTCTGTAGTTCCCAGCCTGTGTCTTTTTTTCCCTTTATGTGTTCCTGGATAGATGGTTTGCTGGTTAGTGTTAACTGTCAGAGTCACCTAGGAAAAGCAACAGGTTGGCCTTCAGGAGTATCTTGAGTGATTGTCTTATTGTTTTAAGTGAGAAGCCTCAGACCCCTTTTGGACGCACCATTCCCTAGGCAGGGATTCCTGACCTATTTCCTCCATCTTGTTGACCTATAAGCAAGTCTGTGGGGGTATTTTCTTGGTTAAAAATTGCTGTGGAGGACAAGCCTGCTATAGATATTGCCACCCCTGAGGAAATTGTTCTGGGTTGTATAAGAAAGCAGTCTGAGCCAGCCATGGGAAGCAACCCAGAAAGCAGTGTTGCTCTATGGTGTCTGCATCATTTCCTGCCTTGAGTTGCTGCCTTGGTTTCCCCTGATAAAGAACTTTAGCCTGCAAACCAAATAAGACATTTCCTCCCCAAGTTCCTTTTGGTTGCAATGTTTTATCACAGTGGAAACTGAACTAACATGCCATCATCCAATGTGTTACCTTTTTTTTTCAAATTTCAAACTTCCTGTTGAATTATGTCTTCTAGCAATTCTTCAGCAACTTTTATACATTCATCCACATTTCTCCTTTTGATAGCATCTTAGTTTTTCTTCATAGATTCTACTTGTGTGCTACCTTTGCCCCACTGGTTTCTAGTTAGTGTGCCAGCAATATTTTCTATTATATGGGTAGTCATGTGATTCAGAACTAGTAAATCAGAGCACAGTGATAAGCCATGGGTGTGATTTCATTAACAATAGAGTCTGGTGTGATTCTGCCCAGGGTTATTTTAAATGGCTACTTCATTCCTCACCTGAAATTTAAGAAAATGAATACAGTCTGTCCACACTGACCACAGAAGTAAGAAACTGAAGACAATCCAAAAAAGGGGAAACAGACTCATGGGATGAAAATAGCTATCAGTCTTATAGTTTAAGCCTGAAATTGGCTTTCCTCTCAAATGTGCAAGAAATATATCTTTAAATCCCCATGCTTCTTAAACTAATTGATTGGGTGATCGGGCTCATAAACAAATCATTATTGTGTGTTTTCATGTTGTGTTATGGATTTTATACGCTGTATTAGTAACTTTTTTCCTGCTATGAGAAAATATCACAACCAGAAGTACCTTCTGGCAGGAAGGGTTGTTGTGAGCTTTGGTTCCAGAAGGATTGTTTATAATGCTGAGTCAAGCACCACAGAAGGTGGACAGAGCAGGAAGCTGAGTCAGTTAGGAAAGGTTCAGAAAGTGCCATTGTGGCCAGGCTTAGTTTATGGTATAAGATGGCATGAGGAACTTAAGGATAGCTGAAATGCCCCCTTTCCCCACCTTTCATTAAACTACAGCACTACTGTACTTTATGGGTAAGATGTTACTTTGGGAAGGTCACGGAGAATACAAACCACTCCATACACAATAAACCAGGTATGCTGCTTTTAGGTTTATAGCAAAAGAATTCTGTATCATCATGTGGCAGAGACACTTGCACACCCATGTTTATCATGCCAGTATTTAAAATAGTCAAGCTGATAACGGAACTATTTGACCATTAACTGATAGCTAGAACAAGAAAATGTAGAATATGCACACAAGAGTTATACTCAGTCAAAAACCTAAAGGAAATTAAGTTGTTTCTAGTTAAAAACATGCAATTAAGATGATCATATTAAGTAAAATGGGCAAACTCTTAAAAACAAAACAAATATTTTATTTCCTTTATGGATCCTAGATTTTACGTGAATACATGAAATCACTTTACATAATATATATACATTTGTGGAATGAAATTATAAAAAGAGGTAAGGGAAATAAATAGTAGAAGACAGGGCAGAGAGGGGTTATGGGGAGATGGATATGTCACAGGATATAGTATGCTTGAATAAAATTGTCATTATGAAAATCAGCAGCATTATTTAAAAAGCACACATAAATTCATACGCAAATTTCATTTCCAAGGAAACATTTTACCTTTTTTCTTCCTGTTGGGAAATTTTAGGCAATGTTGTTTTTTTATGTAAGAATATTTGAGGATATTGCTTGATGAATGTATTATGAGCTGTCAAGTTAAGCGAAGAATGCCTGCTTAGGAAAAAGAGAGAGAAAAGTATAACACATAAAAGCTTTCTATAGAGAGATTTAATTCAATATATTAATTATGGGATGACACCAACTAACAATCTAAGCAATGGTGGAGAGTCTACCTTAAATGTCCTTCCCCAATAAAGAAATTGATGACTACCTTATATGCCTTCATCCAGGGGCTGATAGAAGCAGAAGCAGACACCCACATCTAAACACTGAACTGAGCTCCTGGAATCCAGTTGCAGAGAGGGAGGAGTGATGAGCAAAGGGGTCAAAACCAGATTGATGAAACCCACAGAATCATCTGACCTGAACAAGAGGCGGGGAACTCATGAATCCCAATCTGATAGCTGTCAAACCAGCATAGTACTGACCCAGACCCCCTGATAATGGGTGTCAGTTAGGAGGCCTGGGCAATCTATGGGACCTCTGGCAGTGGATCAGTATTTATCCCTATTATATGAGTGGACTTTGGGATCCCATTACACATGGAGGGATTCTTTCTCAGTATAGACACATGCGGGAGAGCCTAGGTTCTGCTCCAAATGATATGACAGACTTTGAAGATAGGCCTGACCACGCTGTTTGTTGGGAAAATATGGAGGATTTTCAGACTTTGGACTAGAAAAGTAGTTGAGCACTTTAACAGTGACTTAATCATTCATCCTAGCAGAAGCATAGAAGATAATAGAACAAAGGGTGATTTGAGGTTTCAGAGGAAAACAATATTATTATGTGACCTACAGAACATTCTTATATTTTTGCAAAGAACCTTATCCTAAAATCTGCCTGAGACTAAACTGAAAAAAAATGGATTAATGTCATTGGCAGAGGTTTTGATACAACCTAGTAGTGACAATATTATGTAGTGTTCATTCTTGTAAAGATCTACAATGAAAAAGAACAAGCAGGTCACACAAAGAAATATAAACTTAGAATTTAAAGAGAAAAAGAGCACCAGGAAATATAATACTGCAGCCAAATCCTGTGCTCAATGAAATAAAATGTTCAAAGAAAGGACTGTTTTAAAATGGAAGAAAGAGAGTGATTCCCTCACAGCAAGACCCCAGCCAACTAAGCTTCCAACTTGTGAGAAAGAATTAAAGGAAAGCTTAAGCAGCAAAGGAAACTATCAACAACAGAAAGTTTATGCAAAAGTAATTCAAGGCTAGTGCCAGGTACCAGTCCAAGCAAGCAGGATAACTAGGCAGTTTAGGGCAGGTGATTCTGGATTTAGAGTCAATAAGGATACAGGAAAAGGTTTGTAGCGTCTTTCCCTATATTAAGAAAAGCATCTTAGGCCAGGCATGTGACAGGGAAATCCATACATGGAGGCTCAGAGAGGGTGTGTGAATCTATGAAGGTGATGTCTAGATTGCACTGAGATCTAAAGATGCTGGAGATGCCAGAGAGCCATGAGGTACTTGGCAAGGAGAACTTCTAACAAACTGTGGAACCAGACCAAGAGAGAGAAGTGTGCCTGTCTGCTTCCCCCATGGTGATAAAGGACTCTCTCAAACTGTAAACCAACTTTCAACTAAATGCTTCCTTTTACAAGAGTTGTCTTTTCAGAGTAATAGAACAGCAATTTAAACAGCAACAAAACACATGCTAAAGTTCTGTATTTAATTCTCATGCCTCTTCGATATTCTAAACTCTGAAAAGGACTAGTTCCTGTAAAGGGAGGCTTTTCCTTGCTAGCCGCTTTGGTTTATCCCCCGCCAGTCGCCTGGGCTCTGCCGCATTGTAGTCCCCAAATAAACACACAGGAGGCTATATTAATTATGAAGCTGTTGGCCTTGCTTGTTTCTTACTGGCTAGCTCTGACTTAAGTAATTACCCCATAATTGTTAATCTAAGTGTGTCTCTTACCGGAGACGTTTCCAGGCTTCCTACCCCATGGCATTACATCTCGACTCCCTGTGTTTCTCATTCCCAGACTTCTCCTGGACTCCTAGTCTCACCTAACTTGGTTCCCTATTAGCCCAACAGTGCTTTATTGGCATATACATAGGATTTCTCCCATCAAGTTCCTATTTCCCTTTCTGCAGAGCACTCCACACAGACGTCCCTATGTCAAGTTCAGGCACTTGCTTCACTCCATATTTGTGTGTTCAACTATTTAAGTATTTCTCCTTGTAACTGTTTTTTGAATACTAAAAAGGGCCCAGTTTGGAATGTGTTATGTTTATTCCATACGAAATTGGTTTCCTAATCTTTTCAATATATAGAAATAAACCCCGGGCTTCAAATGTATTTATTCATACAGTAAATCAGGTACCTGTGAGAGTTACCACAGTCTCATTAATTATACTTTATCCATAAACAAGTGGAGTAATGCTTTCTCTATGACAGAAAAGGAAATTCAAGAGTAACATACGTGCTCTGTAGTCCTCTAATGTGGCATAAGGCATTCAACTGACCATAATTAATGTTCGTATGTAGTCTTAGGCCTGCAAAAAGAAATCGATTAAAGTGTGAGTAATTTTCTGTTATCTTACTAAGTATGTGTGTAAATAGGATATAATTGCAAACGTTTATCATACTAAAAACATTCAGTGATCATGAAGTCAGATATTGATTTCAGTCTCCAATAAAGAAACATAAGTCAGTATGATGATTAGAATTCACTTTTTAAAATACATTTTGACATATCTACTCCTGACATCTCCTCCTCTTTCTCCTCCTGGTCTCCTCCATCCATCACTTCCCAATGAACTTCATATATACTTATGTTTTCTCTATAATCCATGGAGTCTAATTAGTATGCACATTTAAGAATGGATATGGACCATCCACTGAAGAAGAGCAACCTACTAGGGGCCATACCCTTGAAAAATTGGACTTTCCCTCCCCCAGAGTCTATCAATTACTGATAGTTCTCAAGCTAGGAGTAGCCTCTCCACATTGCATGTTGTTTGACTTGATTGTGTATAGGTTCTCACGCAGGTGGTCATATCTGCTTTGGGTTCATGAGTGCAGCTGTCCGGTCATGTATATAGGATAATATTTTCTAGAGGTGTCGCTTGTGCTCTGACCCTGCCAATCATTTTCACTTTTCTTATGCAATGAATGCCAAGCCTTTGGTGAAGAGTGTATGATATAGCAGTCCCACTTAAGGCTAAGTAGCCCATAGTCACTTACTTTTTATATATTGACAAGTTATGGGGTCTCTGGTTAAGGTTAAGCTCTGGTAGGCACCACAAAAAAAAGTTACTCTAAGAGTGTGAGCTACTCTAATCTTTTGGTATAAGTAAGTGTTTAGAAGATATTTTGATGCTATGTCTGTTTAGCAAAACAGTAGTAGTTGGTTTTCCCCTAGGGTATATGGCCAGTTCTACAGCTAGGTTTACCGTACCAGACATTAGTGTCGTCCCGTGAAGTAGGCTTTAACTGCTATTTAGAGCTATTGATTATCCCAATGATCTTCATACCACTGCTCTACCAAATAGCCATATCTTGGCATATCAGTGGTTATTATGGCTCACAGGTACAGAGCTATGGAAGACTGTTGATGTTTCTCCTCAAACGGCCTACACAGCAATTTCTGTCCCTATGAAAGCCACCCAGCGGGGAGAAACCTTCTAGTTCATCACCAGCTGTGTTTGTCCATGACCTGTAATAAATGTATATATTGTTCTCAGCAATTGAGTCTTACCATCAAGTACTGCTAGGCAACTAATAGCAATGTCAATAACCTTTTTTTGGGAGGAGGTGGGGGGTGTTTCTGAACATATCTAACTAACAACTCAGAGGCAGAGACTAGGTTGTTGGTTTAATGATTTTGACTTTTGGGAAAAGCACAATGCCTTATTATAAGGTAATGCTTATTAAATTTTTCAAAAGCTTAATAAATATATGGAAGCATAAATTAGGAGATTTATATATGGATTTTTCAAACAGAATTTAATTTTATTAATCCAGAATCTGGTCTGGCAATTTCTTGTTGCAATAAATAGTAAAATTGGTGTGAATCATAATAATTTAAATTTCCCTGGAGAAAAAGTCTTTCAGCATTCCTTTCTAAGATCTTTAACATGTATCCTGGTCCCAGAACTACCTTAGAAACAATTCAAAGGAAAGTTCTCTTCCTCCTGTCCCTTTTCCTATCTCACATTTTTTTAGACAGTCCTATCTATAGAGACCCCTAGCTAAGCCCATGCAGGGACTGATCATTTACTGCTCATTCCTTGGAGTATTTTCCAGTATGTAGAACCAATTTCCAATTCCTTATAGAATTCAAATGTTAAAAAAATCACATAAAAATCCAAGCCAGGCAGTGGTGGCTCACGCCTTTAATCCCAGCACTCAGGAGGCAGAGGCTGGCAGATCTCTGTGAGTTCAAGGCCAGGCTGGACCAACAGCCTCCAAAACAATACAGAGAAACCCTGTCTCATAAAAACCAAAAAAAATCCTTAAAAAAGAAAAGTCCTGCTCATAGCAAAGAAGAAAATAAACTGTGATTCTCCATCAGTACCATAATGGGAAGGCATCTTTCAAAAGCAGTAGAAAGATGGAGCACAAAGTGTGATACATGGCTTCAGATCAGAGTGATGGGCATTCTCATCACAAGCCTTATGGCAACTCCAGAGCAACAAATTTTGTTAGAGATATTAATATGTAGTTGTTGGTATTCATTATTACATGTCATTTCACATTTCTAATAATATCAATTAGATTAATTAGAATTTATCCATTCGAATTCCGAGTTCCAGAGTTATAAAATTAGGTTTTGTATGAATGCTAGATGACTTCAAAATTAAAAAGCATAGCAGACACTGTTTTCTACGTATGAAACTTAAATAAGGGGAATGTAAGCAGAAAACTCATTGCTATCCTAACACCTTAGCTTTTAATAAATCTGGAACTACTATTCACATGACTTAGGCATATTTCTAAGGTAAATCTTAGCCAATGAAAGTGTTGGTAAACTGTGAACGTCCCAGAACCAGGTACTTCCGCAGCTTGATTTCAGTGATTCAGTACCAGCAGCCAAATCCAAAACATTTCTATGAGTCCTATACACTTTACAAAGCCATTATAAATCCTGTGCCTTTCTGCTCTTTCTATTCAATCTTCATTCAGAGGCAGCCTTTCTTACTTCTCCCAGCCCACTACCTCCCATGGCATTGTATGGCCCTTCCATAACTGCTTAAACCCTACCAAAAGACTGTATGACTTATTTTTAAGGTCACATAGAATTATTTATTTTAAATGGACCAAGTTATATCTTTAATAAACATAAAATATTTGACATACTAATATGTCTGGTGTGAATTATATAAAATGTTAATCACAATAGATTTTCAAGCACATGAATTAGAAAGAGACTCATATGAAATACATATAATTCATACTCCTAGTGTGATTGGCTGGTAGGTTCAGTAATAACTCTAGTGAGTTGTATGGAAAGGTGGTCAGGGTGTGGGGATATCCTAGAGATCTAGGGACAGAACTTTAATCTGACAAATTCTGAGCAAAAAAAAACATACTAGAAAAACTAATATCTACTATCTTCAGTTAAGATAAATATACAAAAATTACAGAATAAAGATTTTAAGAATAAGAATTGCTAGCAAAGAATAAAGAAATTAAAATTCTACTTTTTTATCTTTCACAAAAATTACTTGCATAATAAAAGCTTCCAGGAGACGGAGGATTCATACTAAGCTTGGAACAACCCAGTAAACTAAAAACAGCATAGACTATTCAGCACTTACAGGCTTGTAGAACACTTAATTCATCAAAATATGTCTTCATGACTGAACCTCTCTCTGCTCTTAGAGGTGTTTGTTACATGGGTCGTTATGTGAAGAGCTTTGCCTATGTAAGAGATGTTGTCTTTGAAAGCAGATTGTTTAAAAACGAAAAGACTAATCTTTCAATGGGAAATTGCAACTATGGAAAGACCAGATGTTTATGTTTCCAACTGACCAAATTTATTACAGGGATAAAACTTAAAACAGTTTCAAAAGCTGCAAAGTTTACATTTGTTTTCTAGTCTTCTTTTTCCTTTATGAAATGCTTTAGCCAAGCTTTGACAAAAGCAGCAGGGGCTTAACCTTAGAATGGGGTTAAAATCTAGGATTTTAACTAGAGTACATGTGAAAAAGGACTTAAAACTGATGGCAATAAATTAATCCTACACTAGAAACCCACTGTACAATTAAAATCCAACAGTCTATTGTCACATTTGGAATATGCCCACTGACTGTTAATAAATGGAAAAATTCTTACGTTTTACTTTTTAATGTTTGTTCTAAATAACTGTATTTTCCTATTCGTGTCATGTAGTAAATTTATTAGATTGTTCCCTTAATAAAAAAACACTCTCACACACACAGTATTTCTCAAGCTTTACATATTTAATTGCTTTCTCTCCATTTTTATTAACTAAAAAGACATTTACCCAAACCTCAAAAAAAAGTTGCCAGAAAAATAACTTATATTTAAAAATCACAAAATAATTTTACTGTGTATCTTGGAGATACACTACCTGATGTTATATGGTATATAGACCGTAATAAAACTACTGTGGTTAAGTTGATTAGCTGAACACATTTCTATTTGTCAATAGAGAAGCCAACATATGTACGCTTAACAAAAATCCCTAACAGCATATATCTACTAATTTTGTTTCTTATTAAAAGAACTATTTTAATCAAATCTTTGTAACTCTCAGTAAGGTGAATTCCTGGAACAGCATAGCCATTGAGAAAATGTCACAATGACCCTGTGGAAATGTCAGAGTACAATCAGTTGAACAACAGAAGGCTGAGACCTCCTCAAATGGTTTCTGTGCACACTAATAATTAAACCAACGACAAGCAGAACCTTTCTTAATATAATTATCAGTGCAAAAGTAAGGAGTTTGTAGCAATAATAACAGAAATATTAAAACAAACTGTTGTTGCCTTTATACTGTGATAAGCAAATTCTCAAGACTGGAGTATTAAGTAGAAGCAGGACAGGAGATAATTAAAGGGATTATAAGCATGGTTAATTCTTCTTATATCCTTGGATAAATGGTCATATTTTGGAAAAGAACTTAAGTTGTGAATAAGGATATGTATGGAGCATATCTCATCATGCTTAAATTCATGTAAGATGATAAGAATGTTTAAGAAGAACACAGATTGTTTCTTGTGCCAGGGTACAATTGGAAACACATTCATGCCCATCTCCTGCACTCTTCTCCTACAGAGGCTACTCACTGTGACCTACAGACCCCAGCCATATACATACACATATGCATATACACATATCTCCGATGTGTGTCTTACATATTGGTGATACTACTCACATTCACCATAATGATTCACTGGTCTTCGCTAGCAGAATTAACTAGTTAAAGATAATATTGATTGAACTGAAAAACAAAATCTCATATTTATTCATGATCCCTCTTCAGGTAGTAATCATATAATAACATACACTGGAAATCTATGGAAAT